CCGAAAAACTGAAAAATAAATATTAAAAAAAATTCTTTCTCTCTCTCTTAAAAAAAAAAAAAAAAAGAGTTCAAAGCTAGCCTCAGCAAAAGCAAGGCACTAAGCAACTCAGGGAGACCCTGTCTCTAAATAAAATACATAATAAGGATGGGGATGTGGCTCAGTGGTCAAGTGCCCTCAGTTCAATCCCCAGTACCTCCCCCCCAAAARTGTTAAATTTGCACTTGAAACATAATTTATAATTTAAATTATAAAAATGTATACATGAAATTCCTAAAGCAAAGACTTTAATGTCTATAGTATGAGTACTGTATTATATCTTTCTGTTTACATACTTCTTCAAACTTGTCCAGTGTCCCTTATGAGTTCAAGACAGGGACTGATGCCTACAAACTTCTTGCATTACTCTACTGGTCCCTTACCACTTTATTGAGCTCTGGGCTGTCTGGGCTATTGTCCTGGAAATACTCCACAGCCTTCTGAATCTTGGCCATGCTTCCCAGGTACTCCTCCAGCCTACCTGTGGGGCTGGGAAGGAAAAGGGTCCAATCAGTCTGGAAGGGTCGGGGAGAAAGTGGAGGGATTAAAGGCATGGTACATGAAAGAAGAAGAAGCAAATTCACACAGGGGAATCTAGGCTCAAATATATTCTACCTCCCCTTCCAAGGCCTAGGGCCATGAGTTCAAGAGGCATTAGGAATGTGATCCTCAGTGCCTAGCTCACCCCTCCCTGATGATCTTCTCAGTGTCAGTGGCCACATGGTAGTAGCTGATGACATGATCCAGGCAGGATAAGGTTTTCTCAACATTCTCTTGCAGCCGCTGCAGATTCTCTGTCTGCTTGTGCACAGGGATAATGGAATTCTCCAGTTTCATAAGGCGGCTCTCAAAGGATGACAAAATAGATACCTGAAAGACAGAAGCCTCTTGCTCTCAGGCCTTAGGGATGTCCCAGCACTGCTTCTACCCACCCACAGACATTGGCACTTTTGACTTTTCTCTAGTTTTCTGGAAAATAAATTCCACGCAAGAAAAGGACAGGGTTTACCTGCTCACTACTGTATCTCTAGCACCTACTATGTGCCCAGTAACTGGTAGATGGTACAAGACAAATTGCTTGAAATTTGAATTGAAGGCAAGCCAAACATCAAATTAATTCTTCATACAATAATCACCTCCGGATGGCTTCACTTCCACCCTTTAAAGCCAAATATCAATTTCTGTTCTCTCTGAAGTTACAGAACAGGAAGTAGTTTAATACAGAGTAGCCTCAAATGCACTGCTGTACCTTCAAACCCCATTTTCTGAGGGTGAATCTCATTACATCAGGACTAGGACTTAATAATAATAATGTGAGGAAATACAAATCCAAGTTTATTTTTACTCAATTTGTGACTTTCCAGTTGCTCTAAGGAATACAGAAGTGTTTATTGAGCACTTATTTATAGCAGGCACTGTGTGAGATGTATTCACATGCATCAGTTCATGTTTCCTTCACAAGCACATTGGAAGGCTGGCCTTGTCCCTGTTTTAGCAGTCCAGTTATTGAAAACTCAGAGTTACCTGCCAGGAGCCACACAAGTAAGATGCAGGCCAACGACTCCATTCCAGGTTTGTTGGACCTGGGAACCCATTCTACCCTAAAGTCCCTTGGGGTGAAGGCTGAGTATTCTCTTCCCTCGGTAATCTCAATATGTCAACCTCGCTGGAAGCCATCCATCACTTGAATTAGCAATGACACATGATCAGTCCCAGCCCACCTAGGCAGTCTCACTAAATGTTCGCTGAGGGAGAGAAAGAAGAATTGGAGAGCTTAGCCCGACAGCAGAAAGTCCAGGCCAGCAGAGCTGCAGTATCCTCAGTGAAACGGTGGAAGGGGGCTGGCAAGAGAGATGCCACTTTCGCGAGAGAAGCCCACTTGCCACCACTACTGCCAACGCAGAACCCCAGGCGGCAGGTCCCCAAGCGCGGGTCGCAGGGCTCTCCTCCTGGAGCCTGACTGTACCTCCCAGCTAAGAGGCGACTCACCATGTTCTTGGTGAGCTGGTCGCTCTTCTCCAGGCTGTCTCGGATGAAAGACAGCGTCTCCTCCTCCTGAGGGGAATGCAGGGCAGGACATCACCAGAAGCCCAGGCTAAAGGAGACTGGCTGCCCGGCCCCACGGCCTAGCCCCACGCCCAGCGAGAGCCCCTTCCCACCTCGTCTAGAAGTCCCGGCCCGCCTCGGCCCCTTCCCCTCCCTCCTCCCGCTCCCCAGCCCCAGGTCCACCTGTTTCAGCTTGTCCTCGATCTCCCGCCGCCGGGCGGACGCCTCCTGCGGGGGGATCATCGTCCCAAATCCTACGTCTCGCACTCTCCTATATTTTTCCTCAGCTTCCGTCCCTGTCACACCCACTTCCGCCTTAGGCCCCGCCCCAGGGCGCACTGGTGGAGCCATGTTGGGAGTCACAGGAGGAAGTGCTCCTGCACCGAGTTCACGGGCTGCGGAATGCAGCCATCTTGAGTGTGTCTGGAACGTGAGAACGCACACAGACACACGCACGCACACATCCCGTCCCCCGCCCCCAGCCTATGCTGTTTTCCCTTCGTTTCCGGTTCCCTGGCCCAGCCGAAGGTTCTCGAAGAACCTTGTGTCTCGCGGCTGGCAGGACACCTACAGTTCATTTTCTGTCGTTGTTGGAAGACTGATTGTTTTGATAAAAGTCCCTAGAGAACGCGGCGAAGTCCCTTTCCGGGTTTCGAGGTCACGTTTTGGGTTCAGGCCCCGAGGTCGTGTTCCCCTCCTAGTGGCTCACACTGTGTTCCCAAGGGCTTGTGGGGTCGTTTCCTCTTCTGCCCTATGCTCTGCAGAGCCCACTGAGCGGGACCTGGGTATGCGTCCCTCCTCCAGAGCTGCAGAGCATTTCAGCTGCTCTAACCGCGGCTCCAGGGCCTGGGAGGGGAGGTGCAGGGGATCGAGGCCCCGCGGGTGGATGTCCAGACACGGCCCCTGCAAAACCTTCCTCCAAAACCTTCCTCCATCATTTCGTCTCCTCCCTGCCTGTGGCCTGCGCCCTCCTGCCCAGGTAAACGGCCTTCTGGCTTTCTTCACTTCCTCTGTGGGTCCTCTGTCAGGCACAGGAAGATAGACAATGAGGCACGTGCTGGTGGGTGAAAAGGTCTGGGGGCACCAAACCATAGGGTTCCCAAGTTACTTCTGGAATCCAGAAAATCAAMGAGGAAGAGGAAATGGGGCATAGAGTAGGGAGAGGGATTGGCAGCTCTCCCACTGACACAGGAGGACAAYTTCAGACCTCTTGGGTTGCAGTGAAGGTGGTGATGAGGAAAGTATTCATATGGCGCAGCCCTGTTGCAGATGGGGAAGATAAAGAGTCAGGGTTACCAAGGTGGCCTTGTGCAGTCCTGAGACACTAATGAGGGAAAAGGTTAAACTGTCAGGTGGTGGRAACAGAATAGGAGGGCTAGTGGGCTGCTTCTGGACCATGGTACAGGGGCTGGTGTAGGACTTAACCTCTCTGAGTTAGAGAATAGAATCTATCCTGTAGTGGGTGCTCAAGAAAAATACTGATAACATTTTGCCCTGTAGGTCTTAGGGAAAGAATTCTTCATGCTTGCCAAGAAATAATGTTTCAAATTTTGTACACAAACACACATCATTGCATTTTTGTAAAGAAACTACATATGCATATGCTTTTCTGAATCAAAAAAAATTTTTCTTGAAAGTCTGAATGAACTTTGGCAGCTAACTACTGGGCATTGGGAGCCTTCTGTTTGCTCAGCTCTGTTGCAAACACCATCCTTGGTATTATTTCGTCTAATCCTCATGGTAAACCTACAAGTCAGGAACAGCTGTTGTCTCCTGCAGATGTGGAAGCTCAGGCTCAGAGGTCAGCTGCACTAAGTCAACACAGCTGGCCAAGAGAGGGTAAAAAGGCTGTCTCCATGTCCCAGGCTGGGTAGCTTTGTTTTGTTATCATGTGAACTGCCAATCTGATTTTATATGACAAGTATATCTTCTAAAAGATAGACAGAATGAAAAAAAGTTCATTTTCACTCCAATATCAGGCATGTGTTGGCAAGTAAATATTGGTTCAGTAAAAGCTATTAGTCTTCAACTATGCTCAGCATGGAACAGGCTACCTGAAAAGGAAAAGGTGATATTTCAGTTATAGCTTTAGAAGCTTTGGTTTTCACATCCACAAACTTATACAAAATACAAAGATGCCAGTCAGAGCCAAGCCCCCCGGCTATCCACTCACAGGGATTCTGTTTCCAGAGGGAAGGTGGGAAGGAAGAAAGGGGGAATGGAGAGGGACTGAAGGCCCTCCTCCCCCAACAGCGTGATTTGGGTTTTTTGTTTGTTTGTTTGTTTGTTTGAGAGAGAGAGAGAGAGAATTTTTTAATATTTATTTTTTAGTTTTCGGCGGACACAACATCTTTGTTTGTATGTGGTGCTGAGGATCGAACCCCAGGCACATGCTCACATGCCAGGTGAGCGCGCCACTGCTTGAGCCACATCCCCAGCCCCATTGTGTTTTTGTTTTTGTGGTACCWGTGGTGGAACCAGGGATTCAGAATTCACAAGTACCAGGCAATCCTCTATCACCAAGCCACACCCTCAGCTCTAACTTCCTTTCCAGGTTTCACGCTCCTTCTTGGCAGTCAAATGTACATTTCCTCCAAATAGGATCACAGCCTAGGATCACAACCACTTGAAATATGATAGATACATTGCACCAGGAAGACTTTAGGAAAAACCCACAAAATGCTAAAATGATGTCAAGTAGATAGATAGTCCTTTTTCTCTAGGGTTTTTTTTTTTTTTTTTTAATACTGAGAATTGAACCCAGGGGTGCTTTACCACTGAGTTACATCCCAGCCTTTTTATTTTGAGATAGGACCTTGCTAAGTTGCTGAGACTGGCCTCAAAATCCTCTAGCTTCAGACTCCTGAGTGACAGGGRTTACAGGTATGCACTAATGCACCTGGTTTAAGTTACCTTACTATTAAAACAATTCTGAGAAAACATTTTTTTCCGTAATATATATATTTTTAAGTCTATTTTCTTCATTTGGAGACCACATTGATCAGAAGGGATTTTCTTTCTTCCTTTCTTTTTTTTTTTGGGGGGGGGTACTGGGGATTGAATCCAGGGGTGTTTAACCATTGAGCCACATCCCCAGCCCTTTTTTATATTTTATTTAGAGACAGGGTCTCACTGAGTTGCTGAGGAGGCTAGCTTTGAACTTGTGATCCTCTGGCCTCAGCCTCCATCCCAAGCTGCTGGACCTGGCGGGTTTTTTTGGATTTTTTTTTTTTCTCTTGAAATCCTCTAGATATGAAAATAAGAGAGAGGTCCAGAGTACCCAAAGCCCAGGGGTGTACAGTCTTTCTTTTTTTTTTTTTTTYTTAAGGAACAGAAAGCAAAGGAAATGCTTTGTATGCTTTTATCTCTTTACAGGCTGACATCTGTAACTTGATTTTTAAAACTATTTTTAAAATTAAATGTGACAATTATTCAAAAATATAACTCAAACTATAAGGAAGGCATAAGGTAAAAAGACTTTTTTTCCTCCAGGTCCTGAGTTTGAGCCCCAAACCACAAAAATAAATGAAAATAAAGTAACACAGCTTTATAACTGAATTATGCATTTAATATTTGGTGGGGATATTCTATTTATTTGTTTACTTTTATTTTGGTACTGGGGATTGAACTCAGGGGCATTTTCTCCACCACTGAACTAGGTGGGGATATTCTTTCTTGGATGAAGGTGAAATGTGACCCTGGAGAGAGAGGACCAGCATCCTCCTGGTGGTGCCTGTGACATGGCCACAGAGAGAGAGGCTTGAAGCCAGGAAGAAGAWTCCTGGACCTCACAGGCAGAAGCTGGAGTGGAGGAGTGGCCATGCAGCAGGAGCCCTGATGGACAGATCAAAGGCAAGGGGGTAGGGGCAGCTCTCTTCACAGCTGATGGACATAAGCAGAAGGAAAGCCAGGCAGGCAGCTGATGGAATCTCCATGGTGACCAGAATCCCTGGACAGGCCTTCTCAGGGCTGCCTCCCAGCTCCCCGCTGTGACCCAACATGGGGTGCTTAATAAATCACTGATGAACAAATGAACCAACAAGTGCCTGAGGCTAATCCAGAGAGTGTGGTGTGGGGGAGGTCTAAAGGGATGGTGTACATGTCCTGGAGTGGGCAAGTGAGGAAAGAGGCTGGGTGCACTTTTTGGGAAAACCATGAACCTCTGACCAGAGAATCTGCCACATACGCCTGAGCAGTAGAAACACACAGGCATGAGACCTGATGAATCTCTATCTCTTCTTGCTTCTCTTGTGGCCAGACCCCCACATACACTYGCTGGCAAACCCACTTCTCTCCTTATCCAGGGTAGTCTCAGGAGGGCACTGTCAGAGGTGGGGTTCTGGCTGGCTTTGACTTTGAACTGAGGACATGTGCTCACACAAGAGCATGTTCTCCATGGTCAAAACTGCAGCCAGCACCCTGGGTGGCAAAGAGACCAGGTATGAGGTCAAACGGAAGTTCAATCCCAGCCCTGCCACCTATTAGCTCTGGCCTTCAGTCAAGCTGACTAAAATACCACATGGAACAAAAAGCCCAGCAAGACTGCATGACCAGTGTGATGCTACAACACGAACACTCAGAAAAATGAGAAATTATAYCCATCTATGTGTGACCTATCAAAGTGCATAAATGCACTCTGCTGTCATGTATAACTAATTAAAATAAATTTAATATTTTTTAAAGAGTCTATACTGGGAGGAAAAAAAAATCCCGTGAGATTTGGGATGAATTAAGTGACACAGCGTATATAAAAGGCCTGCACCTAATCAGTGTTCCATAGCTGTTAATCAGGGCCCAACAGCCTTGTCACACTCCCTTGCCAGCTACTGGAGTGTATTAGGAACTCAACAGGCTTAGAAACATGTTTTGAGTCCAAACAGCCAATTTATCCAGAACCTTTGGAACCCTACCTCCTCTTGTCTGGAGGGAACTTTCTGGCACCTTCTAGACATGCCTCTGCACCTCCGTCTCTCCTTCTGTAAGGACAATAATTCACACCCCCAATGCTCCCCACAAGTACAGGTTGTTTTCAGGACTTCAGGGAAGCACACAAGGCTCAGTGTGCTGCCAGGAACAGGGAAGCATCAGGATGGGCTGCTGCTGGCTCAGCACACACACCCTGCAGGCTCACTTCCTGGCCTGTAAACATGTAGGAAATGCCACTCAAGTGTTCCCTCAGCGGGTGCCATGTGGTTCCTGCTCTTTAAACAACCCATCAGGCACAAAGCACTCCAGAGCAGCCTGGCTGGAAGGGATGAGGGGCCAGAAGGCTCAAGATGCTGTCTGTGAATGA